ATATAATTTTGTAAGTTATAAATTAGAGGCTCACAAATTAGAACTATTACAAATTCAAATTTTCCAGAAATTAGAACCAAAAAATTTCAATACATTGTATACACTAAAAGCTCTAAAATTAGAACTTTTGGTTCTTATTTGTGAGCGCATTCTTAGTTAGCTGATAAATGTTATTGTCCGTACTTTGTTTCCAAAAAAATAGAGGAGGAAATTTCAGAAATGCAAGTTCAAGACGGATCTGAATATAAGTTCAACAGATAATAATACTTCAAATAACATTGAAGATGACCTTCCCAATTCCACACCAAATGTGTTTTATTCCGAAGCGATTGAAAGCTTCATTATCTTAATAAATTAGTACAAACAGAATGACTTGTTTGCTCATGATCACATGATCAATCCTTTAACTATCCATAACAATCACAGTATTAAACCTAAAAACAAATAAACATTGCAAAATATTTTATGATATAATGCTTAATAAAGATTGATTTCAACTGTAAAATATAAGTTTTTATGTAGAGATTTAATGTTTTGATCATTTTTTATAGAAACAAAAAATGTTCAGGAATTAAAACTTTTCGGAAATTTGATCTAACCTAAAAACCAAGTGGTTCTAATTTGTGAGCCTGTACTGTAGCATATACGGTATATATCAATAGTTTTGTTACCACTGAATAACAGCTAAGAAAACGTTTGAATTATAATTTTTATAGAAAGCAAAAGCTACTTTATAGTTAGAGTTAAATTTACTAGATTTAAAATAATAAGCCTCTTATAAGAGTCCAAAAATCAGTCTTTATCATTCTAATAAATAATTATAGTTAAATTAAAATCACTTAAAAATTTCACGATATTACCGGAACCTATTATAAAACTATTAAAGAATCTAAAACATTTCACTTATTAATAAAATAAGTTCTAAAACAATTAAATAGTAAGTATAGTAAAATCATTTAATTGAAGGTATTTTAAAGGTATGTAAATAGAATTTATTAGTAATCATGTATATTTTATTTGCTCAGATAGTAATTATTTTAAATGTAAAATACAGGCTAAATTAATAATTTTCAGTTTGTTTGGGAAATATCTCAGAAATATGTGTAAAGTTTTTAATTTTTTCAAGCAAAAAAAAAACTTTAGTAGAAAAATCACTTTTTTAAATAAAATCTATTTATTTAATAAGCCACAGTTTATTTATAATACCTCATTTAAATATGTATATTTATTTTTTTTTTATTCAATAAAAATTTATATAGAATCATCAAGTGATTACTTCAAAAATGCTATTCATAATTATTATGAAAAAAATTACTTTATATGAAAATTTTTTAATAAAAATTAATAGGAAATAATTTAAGTTTCATGTTAAAATAAAATGTTTATCTTAATTCAAATGACTTTGCTCTCTTCTTTAAAATTACATATCATAAACTTAAGTATTTAGAGCAAAATTTTCACGGGAGTTTTTTTCAACGAGTTTAAATATATTTGATTATTACTGAAATTAATATAAATATTTTATTAAGTGATTAATACAACAACCACTTAATTACTTTAATTTCTAACTTGAAACCAGACATCAATTATCCGCTGTCAATTTAAAGCATTCAATTCAGATAGTTAAAGAGTATCTTAGTTTACTTACAGATTTCTTAATTGATTTTGAAAAGTAACATAGAAATGTAATAAAAATTCAACAATATTGTGAACTTTATGAAAACATATATGATTATATATTATATATTATATAATATATTAAATATCTTCAAAATAAAATCTTTAAAAAGACAGTTTTTATTTTTCACGTTTATTTAACTTTTTTTATTTTTATTCACCATTACACATTCTTAAAACAATTTATTTCATATATATTATTGAAAAAATTAAATTAATAGTTTTAAATTAGTGACCAGACTATTTATAAGGAAATAAAACATTGAACTTGTGGCGAACACCCACTAACATTTTCTAAATTTTTAAATTTAATAAATAATAAAATTTCTGAAAAATTTCTGACAAAAAGTGCTTGACTCAATTATCTATAGTATAATGTCATAATAACTGTCTATAATGCATTTTTTGTAAATTTTTTGTATTAAATAATCTGTGGTATTATTCAATTTTTAATGGAGAATATTGAAACTTTTAAATATTGCTTTTAAAATAATTTTTAATATATTTTTTAATATTATCTATATGAGTAAATGATGACTTTTGATTGGTCATTACAGCATTTAAATAGATAATTAACAATTAGGAATAATATATACTAAATATGGAGCTAACAATATAGTTGAACTCTAAAAACCACAGATAAATATTCAAAAATAGTAATTATTCAGACATTCCTCTACAGCACAACTTTAAATTTTTAGTTAATATTCAGCAAGTTAGTTAAATTGTACTAACAATTTATCTATAAATGAATAAGAATATATTTCAATGATATAAGAATATATTTCAATCGTTCGGCAAATAGTCGGTGACCCCGGTTATATTGAAATACGAATACTCATAGAGATCTTTGAATTAACACAGTCAAAGATGTAATTGTCAGCAACAGACAAAAGTACACAGTCAAACTTAGGAATCACCTTAACCCATATGCTAGTAACTCACTCAAAGCACTGGAACCCTGCGACTCAAAGGGAACTATATAAACCCGGCTATTGCAGAATAACGCACAATATGAAAACGGAATTGGACAAAGCTTCGGCTAAGGAGAATTAATTATCTATTACTATTAGAATTATAATTTTCTTTCTTCTACTACTATAATTAGCGATAAAATATTGTTAGGTCTAAGTTAATTCTTAGAATATTAAATAAGAAGCAAAATAATTAAAAAAAAATAAAACAAAAATACTTCATTGTTATTGAAGTTCGTGATCATATTAGAAAACAACGATTTGATACTGCTCGCTTCTGATAAAAATTTCTAGCAACCACATATATGTTACATAGTTTGTGAATTATCATTTACAAATATATTTTAATATTTCATTTTAAATACTTATTTCAACACAGCAACATATAATATATATATATATTCATTTAGTACGCATAACATATTTTATGTACTAATGTATTCGAATAGAATGAAATGTATAGAGAACTTTCTTAATATATTTTATACGTGCTCCAGATTTTTTAAAATATAGGTTTTAAAAGCGGATGTTCACTCTTTTTAAATCCATTTATTTAATATTTTTCTTTGTAACATCAAGTTTTTGATTAAACAATCATTTATTCAGAATCTATTCGATTACATGCTATTTTATATACCCTTGATATCTGTATATCAAAAATAGCAGATACGAATAGATTCTGAATAAAGGAGAGTTTGCATTAAAAATTTAATGTTACAAGCTTGATACTGTATATATATATAGAAATATGTAGTAATTATTATATGTATTATTTATTATTATATTTATGCATATCAACTTACCAATAATAATTTTATCCGTCAATATTCATCAAAATTATATATTATATATGATTCATATCAATATTATTAAATATTAATACTTATATTAAATATATATATAAGTATATTATTATATTACATTATATTAATATTTTAACACATATATATAGTAGTATCAATTTTCATATTGTTATTTTAGCAACTATCACAATACATACATTCCCGATAATGGAAAGTAATCGAATAGATTCTGAATAAGCGATAGAAATAAATATTAATTAATATTTAATTATATCCACATTTCTTTTCAAAAAGTGTTATCTGGGCTTAATGAATAATTAAAAATACTTTTAAAATATTTATAGAAAACATTAAGAAATTTTATTAATTTTTAATAATTGGAATTTATATAATCATATCTAAATAAGTGAATTTTCCAAATTCTTAATTAGAAAAGTGTAATAAAAAGAATTTTTTATTATGAATTTGGGATTTTTTAATTTAGTTTTTGCAGTAACGAAATGATGATTAATATTTCAATATTAACAGATTTTCCAGAAGCAGTTATATTCTCTATCAATAGGTTAATATAAAATCGAAGATATGCAAATGAGAAATTTTTAATTATTAGTTTCATAATAGTTGCAACTGTTTCTAAACTTTTCTATTAAAGATAAGACGATATAATTAAGTTTTCTTGATAATTACAAAGACTTAGGTTTTTATAAATTACTTTTTATCTTTAAATGTTTGTGATAAAATAAGGCAACAAATATGTTTTCTAATGGAGTGAAAACCAATTTGGAATCCCATGAACGGAAATTTCAATGCAACATTTCTGCATTTAAAAAAACATAAAATAGTAAAAAAACTCATGAATCAGTTAATTAAAAAAATTTTGAAATATATTACAAAAGGATATATCTTTTCTGTGTTACTATAATAAGTTTGTATATACACACTAGGTATAATATTAAAACTTATTTACATAGTATATTTGGTTCACATATAGGTTACTAACCAAAAACCTTCTATGTTAATATATTAAAACAGACTATAAGAACTTGTTGTGTATATGTATTAATTTTGTTTTGAACAATAACTTTTTAATAATTTTATATGGAAATTATGTATAACTAATGTAAAAATATTATAATTAAAATAATAATATTAATAGTTGCAAGAGAAGTTTTGAAAAGTAGTGAACTGCAACAACAAAAATTATTTTTATATTATTTTAATTAAATAAATTTTTGACTGACCATACAGCTGTTTTGAGTATTGCCAATTACCCATCATTAGTGGTCTTCAAAATATTTCTTGTATTTAATTATTCATAAATAATATTTTTCAGATTGGAAGTACTCAGGGTATTCGTACCCTATTTGAATAATAGCATAAGTGAAACAGTATACAGCCAATATACAAGCCATTAGATTACAATATAATATAAATCTATTTTATAATATATATTTTATTTTTAGTTTATTAGTTATTACTTATAAAAAAAATATTATACAATAAAATTTATTTTTTATCTTTTTATGTATATTGAACTAAAATTAAACCAATATTTTTACCACAGCTACATATCAGGCATAACATTGCTTGGCACCCCAACTGAAGTCTATTTATTTGGCATCCAATATATGTACATAATGGGTTCATTGGTTCTGATGGGTTTCGTTATGTATTATTTGTTCCTACCAGTATTCCACAATCTTAAGTTAATATCAACCTATCAATATTTAGAAACACGTTACAATAATTGTGTGCGCCTGTTCGGGTCAGTGCTCTTCATATTCGGATCGGTGAGTTTCGTGTTTTTAGGGTGCTTTATATTGTCTACCAACTACGTGAGATCAGTTTTTGCCAAGCATATTTTTTTTCTTTTTGTGATTTCTAATTTATAGACAAAAATGTCTGTCTGTCCATAGTTGTTATGGCTGCCAATTGTGATATATGTACCCGCACTGGCATTTAATCAAGCCACCGGTATCAACGTACATCTGATTACGCCATTGGTTAGTCTGGTGTGTATTTTTTACACGTGTGTGGTAAGTTATTTTATTAAGTATTTCATAAAAGAAAAATCAGCTATAGAAAATTATTTTCAACTCTCAAAGGGCGGTTTAAAGGCTGTTGTTTGGACAGATGTTGTACAAACTCTAATCATGTTCGGCGCAATGCTTTTAATTATTGTCAAAGGTACAATCGATGTAGGTGGTCTTGGTGTAGTGTATACCAGAGCTAAAGAAAGCGGCAGAATTGAACCTCCTAAGTAAGTTTATATCTTTTTTATTTATTTCGATTGAGTTTTTTTTAATACAGATACATTTCATACATAACAGCCTTACATTTGATCTTACTGAACGTTATACGGTCTACTCATTATTCATTGGTGGAGTAGCGCATTTCTTAAAATCAAATGCGATCAGCCAAAATATGATTCAACGTTATTTATCGTTACCAACTTTAAAAAAGGCTCGCATTTCTGTATGGACTTTCATTTTTGGAGTACTCATATTTATGTTAGTATGCGGCTACAGTGGCTTGCTTATCTACGCCACCTATCATGACTGTGATCCACTAATGACCAAGGTAAGCATATTCCATTTTTATGCTTTTGAAAATGTAATAAGAAAAAGTTAGACAAAGCATCCTATATTAAGAATTTATAATATGACATCAGCCGATAGGTATGAAAGAGGAAAAATCAGAAAATATATTATTTGCTTAACGCCTCCCAACTCGTCTAGCATTTACCAAGCAGAAGTGTTTGCAGTCGGTCAGGGTTGTAAGGCGCATATCACACAATCAAAAATAATGTTGTCATACTATTGGATAGACAAGCTGCAATCCGGATATTGTGGTCAATCTTTAGAACGTCCTACTTAGTAGAGCAAAGCAATAAAAGATTAACCACCCGAAACGACTGATACAATATCTCCCTGCTCTAAAGAAAAAGAAGTATCGCCAGCACTAATAAACAAAAATGGAAGGATCTCTTAAAAATAACACCAGTAAAAATTGGCTAGCGGTTTATCGAAGATCTGATTACAATTTTTGTTTTAACTTCTCTAAAGAGGACATTTTTTTCAGAAATTTTTTGGTTTTAAATGTTAACTCAATGCAGTTTTTATTTTCCCAGCTTTCAACAAAGAGTATTTTTTTAGCTTCTTTAATTATATTGAATTGACCATTGATATATATTTTTGAGGTTTCTACTCTTAGAGCTTTGTAATCGAATATACATCATATTAAAATCTTTCATTTTTTAATGAATAATGGAAACTTCTTTAACCACATAAAAATGGTAATTAAGAAAAGTGCTACTTATTATCTTTATAGTGCTGTTGTAACTACTTTATTCAATGCATCATAGTTTCAAATATAACTAGAAACAAAAACTGTGTAAATTACGATAAGTTAATATAAACAATATATTAATCCTGTGAATAGATGAGGAATACATGAATCATTAGTTTAACCTATATAAAACAACTTGGTTTATGGTATTGTAATATAAACACAATACTGAATTAACCTTAACAATTAATCAAATTTCAAAAAAAGCAAAACCTAAAAAATCTACCATTATTACACAAAACCATAACTCTAAACTAAATGTAGACTAAGTTATCTTTTTAATACCTATGAACTCACCTTCCAAACCTGGATCCAAGTTTTAAATTCAACTTGTACAACCTAACAGTTGCAAAACAAAGAAAAGTAAAGTCTCAGGACAGAGGTCTAAGTCTCAGGACTTTAGAACATGAAATGAAATGCAACAGCCATTAAACTGACGAGAAAAGAATCTGGCATGTGAAAGACTCTTTCAAAATCAATGTTAACACTACTTAATGTGATTAATTGACCCATTGATGATAAATATCTTCAAATGGGAATCTTTGGCTGCATTACAATCTCAAGCAAATACTACAGAAATAGAAAAGATCTCTCCAAAGTGACGCAGTAGTTACTGAATTCTAACCTATTGAAGAGCCACAACGATTATACTTCATAATATCAAAAAAAAAACTATTTCATTTGCGCTGTACATGCCCTGCTCCTTAAAAATAAAATCGTTACGCCAGGAAAATCACTCTTGAATAAGAATAACTAGCAGAAGTTATTATTATATTAACGTACTTCATAGACTTTCAAACCATACAGACTGGATTTAGATTATTATTTGCATATCAGATGACACAGATTTTTTTAAAGATAATATATTTTATTTTATATATTATATCGTAAGGAGTTTAATTCATATACACTATACAATTGATTTAACTTTAGTCTGAACAAATATACATATATATCACATATATCATTTTCTAACTTTTTGTAATAACATTCTGCAACAATTCTTAACAAATGAAATCACAGCTCGCTGAACGTAAGGATCAACTGCTGCCTTTACTTGTTATGGAAACTCTAGGAGAATACCCTGGCTTACCTGGCCTCTTTGTAGCAGGAGTTTTCAGTGCTGCACTGTCATCTCTGTCAACTGGTCTGAATTCAATGTCTGCTGTAGTGTTGGAAGACTTCGTGAAATCATTTTATAAGAAAACACTCTCAGAGCGGGCAACAGCTTACATTATGCGTTCAGTAGTTGTGCTCTTTGGTGTTATTTGCGTGGCTCTAGTGATTGTGGTAGAAAAACTGGGTGCTGTATTACAATTAACTATAACACTATCGTCTGTAGCAAATGGACCACTACTTGGTATATTCACAGCTGGTGTTTTGGTGCCATGGGTGGAGAGCAAAGTATGCAATTATTTTACATACAATGTTTTTATTTAAAGAGTAAATTTGTTTTCCATTTACAGGGTGCCTTAATTGGTGGTATCACCAGTCTGATATTTATGGCTTGGATGGCAATAAGTGCTCAATCTGATATAGCATCAGGCGCAATGGTATATGCAAGAAAGCCACATACAACTCTGGGTTGCAATTATACTTTCATGGATTTCACACCAATGAGTATGCTGGCTGAAAATGCAACAGAAATATTAGAAGAAAGTAACAGGTATTTATTATTCAATACTATTAATATTAGCATAATTTTATGATAATTATAATTTTATATAACAGCCACAAGGAATTTCATATTTATAATATCTCCTACCTATTCTACACAATGCTGGGTGCTATTTTGACTATTGTCATTGCAATTGTCATCAGTTTCATCTCAGGCCCAAATAAACTGACAGATATCGACACCAGTCTGCTGTCACCATTCCTCCAGCGCTGGATAGAAAACTACAAAAGCAAGAAAGTCACTGCATCTTCCGATACGACGAAGAACGGCAACAACCAACAAAAGCAAACAATAGCGGAAACATGTTGGTAAATCGCAAACTATGAGGCGAATTTGATACATGAAATAGATTTGCCCCGGAGGGAAATGTGTTAAGTGAACGAGTTAGTTAGGTATTTGTTTTGTCTGTTTGTATTTTTAATGATATTGTTAGTTTTAAATAAAGTTCGAATGGATTTATT